CTCTTTCTTTTGCAAGAGATCTCCGATTAAAATTGCTGCATTTCGTGTAAAGCATTTATGCATAAATCAAGTAGCTTGAAACTGTCTTCTGAAAATATATAGTTTCTCCTTCTTGGTTATTGGCTTCTCATCAATATATTATTACTGGCTAAGGTATGAGGTTTTTTCACTGATAACAAGCTTTGTCTGGCATGGTCATGGATAATTGTGAGAGCATTTTGAATTTGTCAGATACGTCCTTGAATGCATATGCTTATAAGAATTTTCAAATGTCAATTTCCCAATTTTCTAGGTGTTTGTGCCACAGAGATCATATGAGCACCAAGCTAATGTGAAATTGCAAATTATTACTTAGTCTGAGACGTGAGTACAATTTATGTTCTCCAGCTTCTTGTTATGAGTGGAATTCTTAGGAGGCACAGTGGACAGATTGTTTGGTGTACATAAGTAGCTGCTTGCAATTGTTCAGTTCTCTGACTATTTGATTCTGGCTGTTGTTTGATCCCATTGCTTCTTTAGTAATTGTGCTGAAAAGTTAGTCTAGTTTTTTTTATCACAGTAAAACAATCCTGAATTATTGCATGGTGTACTGTAATAAGAAGCTAGTCTAACTTTTCAGCACAATTACCAACGAATTAATGGCCTCAACATTTCTACTGGGGCAATATTTGTTTGGTTGTGATAATGTTTTATCTTGTTAAATTACAGCAACAAAAACTACACCTCAATTTCAATCTAGTTGGGGTCGGCTGTATGAAACCTCATCATCATAAATAATATTTCAATACTTCGTACGGAAGGATTATCTAACAGTAAAGGGTCTCTGGTATACTTTAATGGTTACACCTTTAATATACTAAAGAGTCTTAATAAGCATTAGTCGTCTAGTTGGTATCACCTATGCAGATTTTCAACTTTCAGTTTTTCCCTATCTTTTGCTGGATCTGCCTGGATTCTCAGATATTCTATTTTTTTGCAATTAACTTCTCTTCATGTTATTTTAGGTCCACCAATTCCTTTTTAACACTTCTAATAATCATGTTTCCGCATTGAGGAACCGATGCACTTGGAGGCCTATGTAACACGTAACCAAACCATATCGATTGTCATTCTCTCATTCTATTCTCTATGTTACTTGTAGCTTCTAACATATGTGGTTATTTCTTTCAAATGCTGTATTACCTCACAATGCACAACATCTTAACATTCGCATCTCTGCGGTGTTCATCTTGTTGATAAATTGGGCTGTGGAGGCTCGATTATCTCCTGACCTTACAGTCATTTTATAGAACTTTCCTTTCACTTTGGTAGGCATCTTCCTATCATATAGCACTCCTGTGACACTTCCCAATTTCAACCATCCACTTTATTCCTATGCACAGCATTTTCATCTATCATTCCATTTTCCTGGAACACTAATCTCTCAACCCGAGTCTACACCCTGAATGAGATCGGCACTCGAAATCATTTCTGGCATGAGCGAACCCTTGACCTAGCATGCTATAAAATTGAATACTGACTAATGCGGAAGCTTTTAAAACATAAGCATACAATGCAATGACTTAGAAAATGAACTCAATAACTTTATAGTTAAAAATCAGAAATCTGTATAATATGCATATATTTGTATAACAATGGTGAAAGCTATTGCCCAACTGACTCATCTATGAAGATTCTAATGTATTGAAGATAGGTTATCGGGACAAGATCTCAGGCTATTTGAATACTCTAATAACAACATCTAATAACTACTAATATTCCGGATAAACTAGAGCTCTTCGAAAGCAAGGAGGTCTCACCAAAATTAGATGAAAGTGATCCTTATGATGCATCTGCTGCCGATTCTGAATACCTGAATCTCCATCATAAAATGATACAGATCCGAATGACGTTAGTACATGGAATGTACGGTATGCAAAGTAGGTGAACGAAACTACTGGCTAAACCGAACATACTGAACTGAATGAGAAAATCTAAAGATAGAATAAAATAAAGAACTGAGTAGTGTAAAAATAAGATTTTCAGCTGAAAAGCTGGGGCATATGCTAAAACCGATTAACTGAAGCATGATAGGTGGATATTTGAATTTGAGAAAAGAAATACATAAAGTAGTATGCAATTATTTTTTTGATAAAGGTAGTATGCAATTATTTTAAAACACTTCCATCATCTGATGATGTAAAAACTGTTTTGATGACTTGAGCTGGAAACGTGTCTAAAACTGTAAATTTGAGAAGTCATTATGTCTATGACTATATAAATAATCACATCAGCTTAAGCGGTAAAATATATAAAATCTTTTAGTGGGGAGTTTCTTACAACCAACATATATCACGTGAGTTCATGATGTCCAACAGCTAACCTAGTTGAGAGGGCTGCCCTAAACCTTGCCAGGGTATATAACCTATCTATCTATGTGGATCCACTACTGAGCCTCTTGGGCTAAAGGAGTTGACCGACTAGCGGTATACTCAAATCCCACAGTGGCACATAGTTATGAGACCTCATTTTCCAAATCCGCATCCTCTCGACGCTAAGTAATTCTCCCTAAATAATCTATATATGCTCTAACTATTCATGGAAACTGTAACTGAAATCATTCCAAGTCATTGCTCAAAATCTGTAAAATTGTACTGCTGGTGAGCCTATGCTCACAACTATTTGAAAATTATATCTATGTCTGTAAGGAAAATTTGTAAACTTTCGTAAGCAATCTGTCACGATCCAAGAGACGATTCCGAACCATTTTGAACAATCACACCACCTTCATTGGAATCAACCAAGCCAACACCCAATCAAGTCAATCTATGAACATCACATACTAGCTCTTTCTTACCATCCTCAACATGACTACCATCGATAGTCGACTAAGAGCATTGACCACCATATCGCTTTACCCTAGTGATAAAGGATATTCATGTCGCAATCTTTCAATAACTCGAACCATCTCCTTTGGTGAAGATTCAAGTCCTTTCGGGTGAACATGTATTTAAAGCTCTTATGGTCGGTGAACACATCCACATGAACACCATATAGGTAATGTCTCCAAATCTTTAAGGCAAAAACCACTGCCGCTAACTCCAAGTCATGAACCGGATAATTCTTTTCATGCACCTTCAATTGCCCGAAGAATAAGCAATAACTTTCCCATGTTGCATCAAAACACAACCAAGACCAATCCGTGAAACATCACAATACACCACAAAACTATCCGATCCTTCCGGTTATGTCAAGATAGGGGCTGAAGTGAGTCTTTCCTTCAATTCTTGAAAACTCTTCTCACAAGCTTCCAACCATAGAAATTTCACCTTCTTTTGAGTCAACGTCGTCAAAGGCTAAGCAATAGAAGAAAATCCTTCCACAAACCTTTTAAAGTAACTTGCCAAACCCAAGAAACTCAGGTCTAGGTCAGTTCTTAACGGCCTTGGTCTTCTTTGGCTAAGAAAAGCAACGGACCTCAACCATCTCCGATACTGCCCATATGCTATTTGGCACTTCTAAATAGGTATACTTTTTTTTGATAACTGAGAAATTCTCGAGGGCCAGTGGCGCATGCAGCAGATAATAGGTCCACCCTCTCCCTTTTCCCCTTACATACCAGGCTTTGTCTTGCAGCGGTGTTTGAACCCGTGATGTGTGGATTATGCCTTCTTACCACTAGACCAAAGCCTTGGGGGCACTTGTAAATAGGTTTGCTTTGTATTCATCATATTATCAAGTCATCAACACATTATCTGTTCTCTTATTTTTGCAAATAGCTTGCGGTTCTCATTTGTGAATTTCCATGTTCTGATGTTTTGCAATTTTGTAGAGACGTAAACTTGACTGAGAAGCTAGACTATTCGTCTGCCGTTGCATTGTTGGGTTTTTCTCTCATCCTGGCTGTATTGAGAGTCTTTAGTGTGACAGATGAGGCAGCAAGAGTAATGGTTTCTGCTCCGCTTGTTGCATTTGTGACAACCCACATCTTGTATCTTAACTGTTACCAGCTTGACTATGGTATGTGCACTTCACAATTACTTGATATAGGATTTTGCATGCTCATGATAAAGTGCGCCTTGTACAATCTCCGGCTAATTGAAAAATAACACAGCCAATAAGTTTGAAATATATACAAAGTTAGTTTGTAACATCAATCAACACTATTAGTTTCCTAAACATGTTCCATTTTACCTCCTTTATCTTTCTCATTTGAATTTTTAACTTTGTTTATTTCTCAATGATCAGTAGTATCACATATTTGAAAGATTTTGGTTCCATTTTCTGTTGATATAATTATGGTGATCAAATCAATAATAATATCCTAATACAAAAATATCAGTTACTCCATACGTAAGAATAAATGTAATAACTGAACTAATTACCATAAACTTATTACATTCTGTGGCCTAAATCTGTTAACAATATTTGTAACATTATGAGGACTAGTTATTAGTTTATGTATTGCACCTTTAGAATAAAAAAACTGTAGGTTCTTATAATTTAAGGTGCTCGTGAATTATTTTTTGACAATAGTAAGTGTGATGGTAAAAGAAGTCATATGTCAAAAATAAATAATGATAAGAAAATGCAGAGACTGTTGTTGCAATTTGTGTATGAACTGAAGAAACAAAATATGTTACAGACGGCTGAATTTCTTCTGACTTCCAATTTTGATTGTTGATACTTGCCTTGTGTCACTTTTTTGAATTAACAATACTGAATGATAGTCTTGGCTCTTTGATTTCATGAATGTGTCTCAAGTGTCGTAGAGTAGGAAAGCTGATGTTGCTCGATCACATTGCAGGGTTAAACATGAAAGTCTGTTTGGGTATGGGAATTCTGCAGCTCATCTTATGGGCTGTCTGGGCAGGGGTTACTCGCCATCCATCACGCTGGAAATTATGGGTGGTGGTGATTGGCGGAGCTCTTGCTGCACTCCTTGAGATATATGACTTTCCTCCCTATAGGGGTTTTGTGGATGCCCATGCTCTATGGCATGCCACCACCATTCCTCTGACCTACTTGTGGTGGAGCTTTGTGCGGGTGACAGTGAATTCAGGACAACAACTCTCATCAAGAAAGCAAAGTAGATTGAAGAATTGTGTGCTTCGTTCTAATTGCTAATGTGTATGAAATCATTGCTTGTTTAGGTCTTTGCTAGTAGTCACTAGGCTGTCCTTTTTTCTCGCATTGTGCATTTGTAGTAGATGTCTAATCATGCGAGTTTCTCTATTTCCAGCTTCAGTAGGTCTAGGTCGGACTCGTTGTTTTGATTGTCACACTCATCTCCTGTAGTTTTGTAATAACATTTGACACTCTCTGTCTGTGGCTTGAACTTTACTTGAGCTGGGTCGCAAGATAAATTCATTTAAATCTCCTTGATTTGAATTACGTATAAGGTGTGTTTTTCATATTTTCATGTTCTGTGAATCAAGTTTAATATTCACTGGACATTCTTGTAGGTTGCAGCCTGAGGTCACTTTGTTTTCGTGAAATACTACCCTTTGGTAGTTGCACATTATTGTGAAATACTAGTACTACTCTTTGCTATACCATATTGTCAAATGATTTCAGGTCAGGTCCCTGTAAGATGTCAATATTTCAGATCCTGCTATTTCGATTTAGTGGTGATATTGATAGATTTCAAATCCCTAAAGCAGTTTCGGTAATATTTACAATCTACATTCCTAAAACCAGCTGGGTTCTTAGTCCTATCTGTGTTGATAGTTTGGAGCAGCAAGTCCTTCATGCAAGTCAGTTATGCTGGGCCTCTAATTAAAAGGCTTTTGATCAAAAGGAAATTTAGGATGACCCAAGTTTTATTTCTTTAATATATAGACCCTTTTTAGGATGAGTGATAATTAATGAGCAAACTATATAAATCTCACTAGTTTATGTTCTAATTATTAAGAATCATGATAGTTTCGAATAGTACTTCATGTACCATATTTCGTTCTTTGGATACACGTAGCTTAATTCGACAGATACATGTATCCGACAAATTTAAAAGAGAGATGCATGTTTTGTATATTGGAATTAAATAACAATTTCATTAATTAAAAGAGTTATTGACTACTCTAACATATTTTCAGCATCCCAACGTATAAACTATATCAAATTTTCTAAAAATAACGATTTCATAAAATCAGAATAATTGTAAACTTAGTCTTCTTGGCACTAAATTATTTTTATTTCTTTCCTTAATTACATGTTTCTATGTCTATCCTCTTATATATATATATATATATCTGAGAGTCGTTTTTTAGAATGATTTCATAAGTACATTTGTATCTATTATACATGATCATGTATCTGAGTTATATCGTTTAAATACATTTATATATAAAAATGTTTATAAGTTTACCATGTTGATAAATTATTTGTTAGATATACATATACACATATATATACCTAATAGGCATATAAAGACTTACTGCATATACAATGAAAATAAAAAGATACGTCAACTTGTTTAAATACACCAAATACATCTAATAAAATAAGATTCAAAACTTTTGAGACTGAGATACATAACATTAATTTCATATACATATAGAAGAAATCATGTTTAATCCTTCTCCCCATTGTATCCTCTCATCGACTACAGTGAAAACGATTAGTTAATAGAGAAACAATACATCATCATGAACTTATCAAAAATAGACTTGAAATCCATAGAATCCATGGCTTCAATGAAAAAAAGTTTGTGAAGTCTTCGATGATGAATCTGAACTGTTTGGCCGATCCATCGATTAACTTGGAAAACTTTCTTTATTGCAGTTACTTCAATTTGGTCTCGTTAGAAATGAACACTACATAATAAGGTTTGGATTCAGGAGACTTTGTAGTCCATGGTAATGATATCTTGAGAAGAAGAAAATAGATTATCCATTGATGAAATGAAATTGTATGGTGAAATTCTTGAATCAGAAAGGAGGAGAGATAGTTAAGTGATAAATATGGGAGGAGAGAATTAAGAGAGATTGGTTGATTTGGAGTGAAAGAGTAAATTAAGAAGAAAATTAATCAATCATAGTTTTAAGGGACGTGAGAATGTATCTTACATAATATATGGTATAAAATATTTAAAATGGTAGTATATGTAATTGTTTAATTTAGCCTATATTAGGTATTATAGCTACAGTTTAAAAAATTATAATTTGTGGCTACAGTTTTTCTAATTCTTGTTATTCATCTGATTTGTATAATTCGTCTGATTAGTATAAATTTAGAATTTGTATAATTCAGTTCATGATTGTATAAATTCAGAAATTTGTATATGCTTACCCTAACTATTGTATACGGTTTATGAAATATTCATAATAAATTACCTTGTTTGTATATTGACAAGTGAAATATACAAACGGAGTTCTGAAAAATTCATAAATGTATGAATACAAAATTTGTATATACTTACCTTATTTGTGTATTCGCAAGCGAAATATACAAACCGCAGCCTCCATAGCAAACAAAACTATAGCTATGGAGCACAATTATGTCTATTGTGTTTGCTATTTCTGAAATTTTCTCTTGTTTAAAAGTAGAAATAATGTTAGTATATATGTAGTAATGTATGTCTAATAAGATAGGTTATCCATAATTAATCTAAGACTGACTATATAAAATTAGAAACCAAGCCCAAAGTTTTGAGAATTGGTCCAAAGTAACAAATACTAAAAAAGGAAAAGGGGTAAATATACCCCTCAACTTTGTAATTATGATGAATATACCGTTCGTTAAAAAGATGGGTGACTAACCGTCATTGCAGTAAATAAAAGTTGTGTTCACCAAGCCATTGCTAAATCTCAATTTCAAATTTTGCGGAGCAAGATTGGAGTTGTGCGAAATCCAGACACAAGCTTGGGCGTGGATGATAGACAATTAGACCCTGACTTGGACTTGAACGTTTCACAATCGTGTATCGTCTGATAAGTTCTTGATCATGTGCGTAACTCTCAATTCTATAGAGGAAAAAAATACATTAATCTAGATTATACTAACATTTTGTGTCAGATGAAAAAGCTTCTAAGTTAACTTGTTGACTGTTGGGAAAAATACTACAATATTGATATTGGATTGGAATTGCAAAATAGTAAACAACTTAGCCATTGCCTTGAAAGTGATTTCGGCCGACTCTGGTGCAAATCGTTGTAGCCGGTCACTCTCAAACACGTGCACTCGTGGCTGAAAGTTTGGAGTTGCACAAAAACAATTGTCCAGAAATCCACAATAGGAAAAATGATTGTTTAAGCCAAGAAATTATTGAAGGAGTTAGTAAATGAAAGAAAGGACTTAGTTTTCTTCTTTGTGTTTAGCTCCCAAATGATATCCTTAAATAGAAAAATTATTTACGTTTTCATCCATCAAAAGAATGTAAGAAACTAACGTATAATCAATGTAAAGAAACATTACTCTTACTTTAATGACAAATTTGTTATAATACAAAAGTAACTTCAAGTCTTCTGAATATCCACATAGACTACTTCTTTCACTCAAATACAATGCTTGAAAATAACAAAGCTATATTTCTTTCCACTAATTGCCTAAACCAAGTCAACAGATTATTATTATTAGATGAAATATACATAGGAATTCGTTTCTTAAGTATCACTACTAATATAACTACTTACATGTTTTTGTGGTTGGAAAATGGAAATATCTACAATATTGTCATGACTAAATTAGTGGCGGAGCCAAAAATTTCAGCAAGAGTGTTCAAGAATTTATTTTTTTAATAAGTGAGTTGAATGTTATTTGTTTAACCTAGGGATTTATCATGAACGGTCTCAACATTTATCAATATCAAATATAAACAATCGAGTTTTTTTCTTTCTTTTTGATGCATTGATTTTATATGATAAAAATATATGATTATTATTTTTAAAGTGAAATATTGATAGAACAAATGCGTCTAGCTTTACAAAACATAATTCACATCAGTAGAAAACTTTTTTTCTTAAAAAAAAGAAGAAGATAAAACACATGTATTGATTTTAGCTTTTGGGTTCAAAGTTGTTAACATATATAAACACAATTTTTTAATGTAAAATATTGGCTTTTTTGTTGGGTGGTAATGAACACGCTTAACCACAATGCCACGGAAGAGTTTATATCAAAAGTTGTTCAACATTTATTATTTATCCCTTAAACCCAGAATTTAACCTCTGTAATTTCCCAGCGAAGGGTGTTCAGCTGACCACCCTTGGATGGCCGTAGCTCCACCCCTGGACTAAATTGTTTACATCCGTACCATCCAAATATTGAGTACGAAATTAACTAGGAATATCTCCTAAACATCCTAATTTAAGAAGCAATAATAATTAATAACCAGAATTATTTACATAGAACTAATAATTCCATAAAGGCATGTAAGCATCATCAGCTTCCATATAATAATGATCTTCTACTTCTGCACATTGCGGTGGAGGTAGCATTAGTCCTTCCGCCATATTCGCAATTAATCCCGGCATGTCGAACAACGCTTCCTCATCCATGAAGAAACTACTCTCTCGTCCTTCATCGTTCATAAAAAATATACTCTCATGCATTTCAGAACTTGAAACTCTTTCCGACTCTTCTGATGGTCGGAAGATTTCGGCGGCCTCAGCGGCCGCCTTTTGAACATCCTTAGAGTTGGAGGAAGCAGGGATAGGCAACCTCCAAGCAGAATCAGCGAAATTCAAGCAAGCAGAACGGCCTCTTAATGCTAAAGCTGCCACGTCATGAGCTCTAGCCGCCATTTCAGCAGTAGGAAAAGTACCAAGCCAAATCCTTGATTTCTTATTTGGTTCTCTGACTTCACAAACCCATTTTCCAGAATTCCTCATCCTGACTCCTCTGTATACTGGATGTCGAGTTTCGCGAAACTTCTTCCTGCCAGCTGGCTTCTTCGGGTTATTTGAAGCTAAGATGAGTGATGAATTTTTGTTGAGTTGGTCCATAAAGTATAGTAGTGACTAGTGTTGGATGCTTGTTCAGTTAGAGTTTTTTGCTTTCTTCTGGTAGTGAAAATGTTGGATGTGTATATATAGTAGAGAGTGGGAAAAGATCATGAAAAGTGTGATGACAAAGCAAAAAGAACACGGAGTAAGGAGACAGTCTGGATTTAAAAATGGGTTCAATATGCATTTTAAGAGACAAAGTGCTGCTGACGTGTCAACTTATTGACCAATCTTTGACATTTGTAACTACTGGACTTACTTTGTTTAAATCACTTGGATGTAAGTCATTGAACCATACAAAATAGTACTTTGTTCCATTCACTTTCACTTATCAAATTTTGATTTGAATCTTGATATATTCATTAAAAAATAACGATTAGTATATGACTATACTATCACACTATTCTTATTAATTGATATTTTAGATTATGAAAGTTGATTTGGGAAATAAGTAATTAATGCATACGACAAAATAGAAAAAAAAAACTAATTATCTTTTCTTGATATATTAAAAGTGATAAGAAAAAATGAAATTTTATTTTTGAATTAATGAACAAGTAAATGGAACATGATATTTTTTAGAATATTGCTCCCTCTAGTCCATATTGAGTGATTTAGTAGTCCATTCTAAAAATAATTATACTTCTAAATTTGAAATTATTTTATTTTACACATTTTCATCATTTAATCATTAATGAAAAGTTTTTATAACTACACAAATAAATATTATGACTCTCTTAAGGTCACAAATTTTATAGTCACAAAACTAATATGTTTTCGAATCTTTATATTTCAATACTTTGTATCGTGTCTATTAAATTGTGTCACATACATCCGAATATTTTTTAAAAAAAAATAATAATAATAAGAAATTCTAACTATCTTAACCTAAGAACAGCTCTTAAGTTTCTTTGTGGAAAAATGAAATTGTAGACTAGGGAAAGAAACGAACAAAGTCAAAATAGTACGTACGAAGAGGAGGAAGCAGTATAATAAATACTCTCTCTGTTCACTTTTAATTGTCATAATTTCTAGATAAATTGTAAGAACTTTGACTAACATTTGATGTATTTTTTCATCATATTGATATGTAAAAAAAATGCAATTTATAATACTTTTCGTATAGTTTTTGAATATCTAAATTTTTTGTTTAAAATATCAAATTAATATAAGCTAATTTAATTTCAAAAATTAACAAATTGACTTTGGAAAAATGTAATATAATAATTAAAAATGGATAGAAAAAGTAGCCGTCTAGATAGATAACGATAGCTAAAATTGTGGGAGAAGAGAAGGATATGTATAGTTGAAGGTGAAGGGTTGGTTCCTTTTGGAGTTGTAGTGTGTTTGGACAATGACAAATCAATTGTATCCTAGGAGACTCCAAATATAATCATGTAGAATGATAAAAGTCAGAAAATTGACCTTTCAAATAATATGAGCCATCAATATTGTCTTTACTTAAAACTACACAGTACACTCCCATTCATTCACTTGCACCAACACACGGTTTGACAGTTGGTACTATTATCTTTGAAAGAAACGAGTGGAACGACACCGGAAATAAGAATCTTAGATTAGTAGAGTATTACTCAGTTCATCTCGTATTAGTTGATCATTATATTAAATATGATTGTTACATATATTAGTTGATTACCTTACCAAGAGTGTTTGGCATTGCTGTTGGGAGCTCAGAAGCACTTATTTTGAGAAAAATATATTTATTTTAAAGAAAAAATAGACCTGTAAAAGTACTTTTAAATAGAAGCGGAAACAATTTTCATGTTGTTGGGAAGAAACTAAAAATTTCCACTTTTTAAAAAAGACAGAATCAGAAGTAGAAAATGTTTTTTTTTCAAGACTAAAATGTCCCTTCCATATACATATATTTACTTATATATCTTTTATTAATTAATTAACATATCTCATATGTTTGGTAAGTTCCATTTAATAATTTTATTTTTTACTTTTATACAATAAATTTTATATTTTATTTTACGTTTATGTATTATTATTATTTTATTTCTTATTTTACTTTTATTTTACAGAATTAGAAAACAAGAAGAAGGTAACAATAATATTTTTGTAAGATTAGAAACAAAAAAAAAAAGCAATTAAAGATTTCAACCCTTCAAAAATATATAATATTGATTGAAAATTTGAATATGAACACTTTAATTTAATAAAAATAAAAATTTAATTTATTTTTTTGTAATAGATGTTTAAACTAGTTTCACTCTATAAAATAATCTTAATATTAAAAGTATATTAATACTTGTCCTTAATCATAATTTGACTCTCAAAAGCACATTTTGAAAAAGATTAGGCAAACACAATTTGTTTATAAAAAACAATTTTCAAATGAATTAGCCAAACACAAATTTTTATTTTTTTTTCAAAAACACTTTTCTGAAAAGCTATTTTTAAAAAGTGCTTCTGAAAATAAGCAGTTTTTAACAGTAATATCAAACAAACTCTAAATCAAGAAAACATTAATTATTATTTTTTATATATTATCCTTGCAATTAATTCTTTTGGAAAGTGTTCACATTTATTTGTACTCCATCCGCTTCTTTTTATATGTCATCCATTTCTATAAATAGTTGGTCCATAATATTTGTCATTTCATAAAATTAATGTATAAATTATCATATTCTTCCTCTTATACCCTTGATAGAGTAGTTAATTAGTCTTGAAAATATATACTTTGACTAGCCTAGGAAAATTAATAAGTAATTAATATTCATTGGAGTACTTCATACATTGATTGATTACTCTCTGTATTCACTATTCTATAAATTCTTATTTTGAAAAAGAAATCTCAACAAACAAATTAAAAATAAAAGATTGAGAAACAATCAAAAATAATCTTGAAAGTTTAAGCTTTAACAATTTTTTAAAATTTTTAGATCAATTGGTGAAAAAATTTGGCTCCAAAAATAGACTAAACAATTTAAATAGTCATCCAAATGCATTTTAATTTTAGAAATCTAGCATATTCATCATTTATTGAAAAGTTGACTAAAGAAAACATTAAATAAGGGTAGAATGGTAAATTTACTTAATTTATCAATGCAAATGCATGCAATCTAAAAAGGTGACATATAAAAAGGAATGGAGAGAGTAAAACTTTCAAGAAGCTTTTTAAGGAGTGAATTACTAAAATCGTCTTTTTATTTGTGATTTCTTAAGCATCGTGCAAAATAGAAAACGATTATTAATATGGAACGAAGGGAATATACTAGGAAATAGAACCAAGAAAGTGAGACTGTCCTTTTCGAATTTTCCATGTTTGAGTCTTTGAGCTGTTAAATTTTTTTTAAATATTTTTTCTTAGAAATTAAGTTTTTTAAGAATAACGAAAATGACTTCTTCAGATGGTAGAAAAAACAAGTTTCATAAATGACATTTAATATTGACAATGTTCTCCTCACTCTTCAACACATCTCATTTTCACTCTATATATCCGAGTTCGGAGCCTAAAGGGCAAAAAAAATTGACAATCAAAATGGCACATCAAAATTTTTTTTAATCAAAAGGGCAAAATCGCTACTGATGTAGCGATTTTGTTTTGACGCCGTTACTCCGTTAAAAAATCAAAATCGTTGACCTACCAACATTTTGTCCAATTTTTTTTTTCCTTGTTTTAAAAGAACATCACTGCCCGTGCAGCGTTTTTGGCGATTTTTTTTTAAAAATAAAATAAAATCGCTGCTATGGCAGCATTTTTATAAGATAAATTTTTTTTAAATTAGATTGAAAATCGCTCCACAGATAGCGATTTTAGTTTTTTTAAAAACATTTTTAAAATCAAGGTAGCGATTTTGGAGATTTTTTTTTTCTTTTAAGATCGCTGCAAAAACACTATCAAGGCAGCGAATTTAAAAAAATAAAAAAATCTAAGTAAAAGGTTGCCAAGGCAGCGATTTTTAAATTATTTTTTTAAAGTAAAACACTGTCAGGTGAACGATTTTCAGAAAAAAAATAACTTTTTTAATAGAAAAGCTGCCAAGGCAGTGATTTCAAAAAAAAAAACTGTCAAAGTGGTGATTTTCATGAAAAATAAAATAAAAATTTTCTATGAAAACGCTACCATAGAAGCGATATTAGCAAAAAAAAAAGAAAAAAATTGGAGAATATTGCTGCTCGGACAGCGATTTTTAATTTTAACGGAGTAAACGACATTCATATGTGTCAGAGAGAAATCGCTTTGGCAGTAGTAATTTTGCCCTTTTGATTTTAAAAAAATATGATATGCTCTTTCAAAAAATTTAACAATTTTTTTTTGCTCTTTTGACTCAGAATTCCTATATATCCCCCCTCATAGCCTTATCCCCACACTCTTACCCCACCTCCATCCCTACCTTCCAAAATATTTTTTAAAATTCTATATCTTTTGTTTATGTACCAAACAAAAGTAAATAAATAAAAACTCAATCCTGAAATAGAAGTACATTTTCTTTGGACCGAAGACACCCTAGAATTGACTTTTTATATTTATTTCTCCATGTTTGCTCACTGAAAATAATGACTCCTCAATTCAATATGCCTATGACACTAACTCAAAATGTGACCACTACAATATTTCAACACGAGTGAGAGATAGAATATGTAGAACATAACTAGCTTAGAATTACTTCCTCCGTCCAATAAAAGTTATCCACTATACTAAAAATAATTGTCTAGCAATACTTATTCAATTTAAAAAATTAAGAGATAATTTACCTTTTGTGTCTATTTTATCCTTATTATTAAATATTATTTATCATCTACTCCCTCCGTTCCCTTTTATACGTCATTCTTACTATAAATAGTTGGTTCATAATACTTGTCATTTCATAAAATCAATACATAAATTACAATATTCTTCCTATTTTACCCTTGTGAGTAATTAGCCTTGAAAATATACATTTGATCAACATAGAAAAACTTAAGTGAATAATTCATGTTCATTGATCAAATTAATTAATCAAAATAAATTAATTCATATTCATTGATTGAAAAGTTGACTTCAAATAAATAATAAGGTAGAATAATAAACTTACTTAATTTCTTAATGCACGTGAAATAAAAAATAGTGACATATAAATAAGAACGGAGGGAGTAATACATTCTCAAAGCATTAAATTCAATAAAGTCAAAGGATAATATAGTAATATCACCCCTGTTATTTATTATTTCTTAAGGAGTGTGTCAAGTCAATAGTGTACAACTATTGTTGGACAGAGTCAATAGTAATTAAATATTGATACAGTTTAGAATTAATTATATTAATTACTAAGAATGAAATTGTAGAGTCAAATCTCAATTTATATAAAAAAGGCATACATAGCTATATAATGAAGACATTATCTCAAAGAAAGATAAAAAGAGAATCATAAAAAAAATGTAATTTTACCATCAATATTATTTTATAATTTTCTTCATATAATTAGTCACTTAGTTGTGATTTTTTATTATTAAAATGGTAAAAACTACATTCTAAAAATGTCTATAAAATAGGAAAGAGTTACTAGTCTCGAGTGTGTATAATTCGTGTAGGGCAACCTTCTACTTTTAATTTTTGCCTATTTCTTTTTTCCTTCCTTCCTTTGTTGGAATAGGACTATTATATATATCTTAGGGAAAAGGGTCAAAAATACCCTTTAATTTTAATTTATTAGTTGATTATGTCTTTATCGTTAAAACAAAGTTATTCATATCTTCGTTATCATTAATTTCATCATCTATACCCCTCAATTAACGAAAAACCCCAAATTGACTCAATTTAACCCTTTTTTAAATAAAAAAAAAAGACTCATTCCTTAATTTAAACCCAATACCCCGATCCCTCAATCGTTTAACCCGTATAACCCATTCCCCTTTTACCCATCCATTTCTCATTCATCTCCATCAATTTCTTCTTCCCCATTCTCCTTAACCCTTCTTTACAATACTCATTTCTCTGGAAAAACCGTAGTCATATCATTCACCAAAAACGAAAAATCCTCCAAATTCACATTTGAATCTTCATCATGATCTTCTTATTCTACTACTAATAATTCCTTTCCCTTAGCTGCATTTCGACCCCAAATCTTTCCCCCAATTTCATAAATTTTGCCGTCGGGTGGAGTTTTGACTTGGGATTTGGATCTAGCCAACTTGTGGTACTTCCAATTTCTCATGAGAGGTCCCGGTTGCATAGACATAACACACACACCCAAAAATGAAAGATATAGATCAAAAATCTCTTTCAGTTTCTTCAACTAATATGCGGTCTGCGCTTCGGTGAAGTTTTCGGTACAGAGGTCGTTGTTGTTTGGGGGTTGTGAAAGGGTTTTGCGGAGTGCGATTTCGTCGGTTTCAGTGAAGACTCTGTGATTTCCTGCAGATTTTGTGATTGTTTTGGTGATTGATGGCATTGGATTTCCGGCGATTTGGGTAAGTTTGTACGGTGGTTCACGGCGGAGGTGGATTTTTCCCGAGAGTAGAGATATAACTCATTCTCGTTTTACCCATTCCTATTTAGTAACTTATTATTTTTAGAGTGTGAAGTTAAGTATTATACTATAATTCATTTTGGTCTTTTATCAGATGCAAATGCGATTCAACCATGAAAACAAACAAGCAAAGGAGATGAACACTAATTGAATGGGTTATACGGGTTAAAAGATAGAGGGGTCGGGGCATTGGGTTTAAAATAGGGAATGAGTTTTTTTTCAAAATTCAGACTAATTTGAGTCAATTTGGGGTTTTCTGTCGATTGAGGGTAAAAATGGTCAAATTAGTAACAACGAGGATATAAATAACTTTATTTTAACGATAAGGGTATAATTAACTAATAAATTAAAGTTAAGGGGTATTTTTGACCCTTTTTACCTATAATAAACAAATCTTTGAAAAAGGGCAGCATCAATAAGTAAGAATCTCCACAAGCTATTTTTTGTAAGATTGAGAATTAGTACTATACTTTAGTGAATCCACCTATTGGAATCCTTTTTAAAAAAATTAATCTACAGTTTTATGTCCACTTGAGCTTTTAAAGTGTATATATACCTCATTTAATAACAACTATTATAGGAAAAAAGTTAGGACTTAGACATGGAATACATTGTTAATCCATCATTTATATCATATATAGTGATGACACAAGTTATTGTGAAATAAGTTATCTCAAAATAGCTAATCTCAAGACTATTAATATGACATAACGTGTTCTCAATCAAACGACCCCTATAAATTGCTCCATATATTCACCCATAGAAATTAATGTTATACTTTGTATTGTGTCTATTAAAATTGTGTCACATAATCAAAACCAAGAAAATGTCATAATTAATATTTTATTAATGATGTCATGTTTATGTAGTTATTCTTATAATTTGTCTATTTATGATTTTTACCATATATATAGCAGAAGGTGAAGTCCGACAGAGCCGTCTCAACAAGTTTGGAGCCTAAAGCCAAACTTCATAACAAGGTTTTAGTTATTTTAGTTGTCAAATACTATAAATTAATAATTATAACATATTCAATGTAATCCTACAAGCCAAGTCTCGAATAGGTAGGATTAATGCAGAGTGCAGACCTTATGAAGTAAGAATGTAAACAATAATAATTTTCAATGAAAAAAAATATAATATAAGTTAGATTAATAAAACCTAACTTGAAAATTTTAAAAACTTATATAATGATATTGAAATAGTCGCGCTATAAATTTGATAAGTTGATATAATGATATCATAGTAGTATTGATTTGTTGTCATGCTTGGAATTTAAAGAATACGCCAAAAAATAAATATGGTATTTTTTATTAAACACACAACAATAGATTTTGCATAATACAAAAAGTTTTTACCATTTGGTAGACTTTAGAATATTCAATAATGAGAAAATAAAAATAGAAAGGGAAATAAAAAAAAGTGCACCTAAGAATAAATATGGGTTCATGTTAATCGTCAATATATAAATAAAAGTCAAGAAAATAGGTAGCCACATAACAAAGACATAACACATAAACATGACCCTTAACTTGGCATCAGCGGACAACTATGACCTTTAACTTTGGTCCGTCCTACAAGGCACCTTACATGACTATTTTATGTCCTACGCGGCGTCCTTCGTGTATTATGTCATGTAGGACACATCTGCCTACTTGTTCAATTTTATACAAATTTAAGTGTCTACTTGTGTATATTCAAAGTTGAAGGCATAGTTATTTGCTGAAATCAAGTTAAAGGTCATATTTATGTAATATGCCATTAAAAATAATATTACAATTAACAAAACATTATTCTATTTTTCAATTATTACTACGACCTTCACATTGAATAAGGTAAACAATTATATATATATGGAAAAGTGGGGTCTTAAAAATTTTTGGACCCCAAGCGATTGTTTAATGGTCTTATGAAGGGTTGGACGTCCCTTTTGAAGTTGTAGTGTGTTTGGACTAAATGACAAATCAATTTATCCTAAGAGACTGCATATGTGATCATGTTAAATGATAAAAGTTAGAAAATTGATCTTTCAAAAAATACAAGAAGCCATCAATATAATATTGTCTTATTGAACTACAGTCTCATTCATTCACTTGCACTAACACACGGTTTGACAGTTAATAGTATTACAATTGTACTTAAGATAATACGAACCTAGAAAGTGAGACATATCCTTTTCCAATCAAATCCTCTAGTAAGCGTGGGTTCGATTTTTCATCTAAATTTTTGAAAAGTATTTTCTTTATGAAAATAAATTTTTAAAATAAGAAAAATGACTTTTTAGTGGAAGTAATGAAAATAAATTCCACAAACTCTTTATATTGACTATGTCCTCCCCACTTATTCAATATGAAAATGGTGAAAAAATAAGAATATATTAGTTATAGGTTATTAATTCTAAATCTAGAAAGACAGAAAATATATTGAACATTCTGAGTGTAGATGATGTAGGTTCTGCTAATTAGATGAACTTGTTCACTTGTTTCATTCAAATAATTACTACACATGTATACATTTGTACCATCGTAGGAAACTAATAAAATCTCCTAAATATATCGTTATTTATATAGAATAATTCCATAAAGACATATAAGTGTGCACATCAGCTAATTCCACATAATGATCTCCGATCTCTAAACATTGGGGAGGAGGTAGCATGAGTCCTTCTGCCATATTCGCAATTAATCCTGGCATGTAAAAGAGCGCTTCCTCATCCATGAACAAACTACTCTCCTCCTTCATAAAAAACGTGTTTTCTAGCGTTTCAGGAGTAGTACTACATTCTCCTGAAACTTCTTCCGACTCTGATGATAATGGTCGGAAGATTTCTGCAGCCTCAGCGGCTGCCTTTTGAATATCCTTGGAGTTAGAGGAAGCCGGAATAGGCAACCTCCAAGCCGAATCAGCGAAATTCAAGCAAGCAGAACGGCCTCTTAATGCTAAAGCTGCCACGTCATGAGCTCTAGCTGCCATTTCTACTGTGGGAAAAGTACCAAGCCAAATCCTTGATTTCTTATTTGGTTCTCTAACTTCACAAACCCATTTTCCAGAATTCCTCATCCTGACTCCCCTGTATACTGGATGTCGAGTTTCTCGAAACTTCTTCCTGCCAGCTGGCTTCTTCGGGTTATTTGAAGCTAAATTAATAACTTCCTCATCAGAAAAATTATTATTAGGGGAGTACTGATTGTTATTAGTATCAGATATTGATGATGACGATGATTCAGCGAGTGGGTCTGAATAATAGATATCCATAATAATATTATTGAAAACTGACTTAATTATTTGATGGGAGTGTAAACAGTAGTGTTGGATGGATGGAGGTTTTTGGGTTTGTGGTGAATTTGAAATTGGATTTTCTATAAATAGATATGATAAGTAAAGTGAAGTGTCAAGTGTTGAAGCTAAAAAAGTTGGGTATCACACGGAGTTGTATTGTAATAAGGAGACAGTTGTTTTAAGTCTCAAGTGTGTATAAGTCGTGTAGCCTTTCTGTGCTGATGTGGCAAACTTTCTAGTTTTGCCTCTCCTTCTTCCTTCCTTCCTAACTAAAAGGAATAGTACTCCCTCCGTCCCTATTTACTTGTCCATATTTTCTTTTTTAATTGTCCCTATTTAGTTGTCCATTTTGACAAATCAAGAAAGGACAACAAATTTTTTCCTATTATACCCTTATTTACACTTCTTAAAAATTGTAAAAGTGTATGTTGTTTCCCTCCAATTTATTTCACTTGAATTCAAATAAGTGGTTGTAATTTTGAAGTGAAAAGTTGTCATAAGGGTAAAATTGTAACTTCACTATGCTAATCATTGTTGCCTTAATCTGTGTGTCATTTCTAAAGTGGACAACTAAAAAGGGACGGAGAGAGTATATCTTATCTAGAATACTTAGACTAGTTAAGCTACTACTCTCTTCGTCTCAATTTTATGTCACATTTTTTTAATTTCAATATTTAAATAAATTTATCTTAATTGTAAATTTTTAAATTGTCTATTATTATAATTTAAAATACTTTTTACCTAGTTTAGAAATATATAAATTGAAATATAGAGAGCAGTAAACTATTTTTTGTCAAAGGTCAGCATAAATATATATTGACTTCAATAAATCTTCTTTCTTATTATTAGGCTAGTTATATTCACGTGATTAATAAAGTGCGTACCTAATTTAATAACAAAAATTTTAGGGGAAAAAAGTTATACTTATACATGGAATACATTGTTAATCCGTCCCTAAAAAAAAATGCTTGTTATTCACCGATGCAAATTAATGTTATGACTTATAGTCACACAAATAATATATTTTAAAGTATAAATTTTAATTTTTATTATTTTTCAATACTTTGTACGTATTTATTAAAATTATATTACTTAAATTAGAATGAAGAAACTATATAATTATAAGAAATTTTAACTATCTTTTAACCTACGAAAACTTTGTGGAAAATGAAATTGCACAGTACTAGTGAAGGAAAAGAAAAGAACAAGTCAAAATATATAGTACTCCCTCCGTCCCTATTTACTTGTCCATATTTCCTTTTTTAGTTGTCCCTATTTAGTTGTCCATTTTGACAAATCAAGAAAGGACAACAAATTTTTTTCTATTATACCCTTATTTACACTTCTTGAAAATTGTAAAAGTGTATGTTGTTTCCCTCCAATTTATTTCACTTGAATTCAAATAAGTGGTTGTAATTTTGAAGTGAAAAGTTGTCATAAGGGTAAATTTGTAACTTCACTGTGCTAATCATTGTTGCCTTAATCTGTGTGCCATTTCTAAAGTGGACAACTAAAAAGGGACGGAGGGAGTACGTAGGAAGAGGAGGAAGCAGTACAATAAATGGCATTCTAGATATATAACGATAGCTAAAAGCAAGTACATGTGGGAGAGGATATTATCTAGTGGAAGGTGAAGAGTTAGTTCCTTTTAGAGTTGTAGTGTGTTTGGACTAAATGACAAATCAATTGTATCCTAGGAGACTCCAAATGTAATCATGTTGAAATGATAAAAGTTAGAAAATTGACCTTTCGAATAATATGACAACTACAAGCCATCAATATTGTTTTATTAAACTACACTCCCATAGTCATTAGTCCCATTCATTCACTTGCACACACGGTTTGACAGTTATTATCTTTAAAAGAAACGAGAGAAACGCAGGAAATAGGAATTTTGGATTAGTATTACAATTGTACTAGGAAATAGGAACCTAGAAAGTGAGACATATCCTAAGAGTGAATTCTATTTTTTCTATATATATATATTGTTCAAATGGTTAAAAGCTATGAATTTTTTATTTATTTTTTATGAAAATAAGTTTTTAAGATGAGAAAATTGATTTCCTAGTAGAAGTAGCTGGGGAAATAAGTTACATAAATGACATTCCACCTTGGTTATATCCTTTCCATGCTCCAAGCTTCCAACACACCCCTACTCTCATCTTTTATAGTACTATATACAAATATTTTTAAGATAATATCTATCGTCAATAATGAATTGATCATATACAAGAAATTTTCCTGAAAAACATTTTTCTTCCTATCGAACACACTTTAAGTGGCTTCTTATTTATTTACTTCTTTTATGTTTTGCATTGACTTATTAGTGAAAATCATATGACTCGGCGATTGAACGCTCAGTCAGCATAAAGCTTGGAAAACCACCAACTCGATTTCTGTAATAAAATGTAAACAACAATACTCCAACATGTTGGCATACTTGGAAGATAATTAGTTTAAGATTAGTAATTAAATTGACAGTATAATGAAGACATTGTCTTCTCACATATAGAAAGGTAAGAAGAGAAACATAAAAAATGTATTTTTTATCCTGATCAATACGTACAGTATTATTTTATCAAAATGGTTATTAATTCAATTGCTCTAAATCTAGAAAGATTGAAAATATATTGAGCATTCTGAGGATATATAGAATAAATAGGTGCTAATTAGATTAACTTGCTCACTCTGTCTACATTTGTTACTAAATTACTGCACTTGTATGTATAAACTATAAAAAATTCCTAAATATATCCTCATTTAGATTGAATAATTCCATAAAGGCATGTAAGCATCATCAGCTTCTACATAATCTCCGATTTCTAAACATTGAGGTAGAGGTAGCATGAGTCCTTCCGCCATATTCGCAATTAATCCTGGCATGTAGAAAAGCGCTTCCTCATCCATGAAGAAACTATTCACTTGCGCTTCCTCATTCATAGAGAGGGCCTTTTCTGGCGTTTCAGGAGTAGTAGTATTGCTACATTCTCCTGAAACTTCTTCCGACTCTGATGGTCGGAAGATTTCGGCGGCCTCAGCGGCCGTCTTTTGAATATCCTTAGAGTTGGAGGAAGCAGGGATAGGCAACCTCCAAACAGAGTCAGCAAAGTTCAAGCAAGCAGAACGGCCCCTTAATGCTAAAGCCGCCACATCATGAGCTCTAGCCGCCATTTCAGCAGTAGGGAATGTGCCAAGCCAAATTCTAGATTTCTTATTTGGTTCTCTAACTTCACAAACCCATTTTCCAGAATTCCTCATCCGGATTCCCCTGAATACTGGATGTCGAGTTTCTCGAAACTTCTTCCTGCCAGCTGGCTTTTTCGGGTTATTTGAAGCTAAATTAATAACTTCCTCATCAGAAAAAATATTATTAGGGGAGTAGTGATTGCTATTATCAGATATTGATGATGACGATGACAATGATGATAATTGAGCGAGTGGCTCCGAATAATAGCTTGGAAACATATCTATAGTAATATTATTGAAAACTGACTTAATTATATTTGATGAGAGAGTAAAGATAATGAAGTAGTGTTTGGATGTTTTGTATATATAGATATGATGATAAGGTAAGTGAAGTATTGAAGCTAACACGGAGTTGGAGGGAGATAAGTGTTTCAACTCTTAAGTGTGTATAAGTCGTGTTGCCTTTATGCGGATGTGGCAACTTTCTACTTTTTGTCTCTCCCTCTTCCTTCTTTCCTTTTTGGACTACCACTAGAATACTTGGTCTAGTTGAGCTACTAATAAACAAATACATTTATTAAAGGTCAGCATCATTGTATATTGACTTGAACTAATCTTTTTTCTTCTCACTTTTCACTTCTTAGTATTATTAGTTAGTTACGATAACACAAGTAAAGTGGATCCCACAATTTCTAAAAAATTAGATATTAATTAAATTAAAGTAGAATATCAGCGAAGACGTGCCTATTTTAGCCAAACTCCCTCTTATATACTATAATAATAAAATAATAACTAGATAATGTTGCTCGTACTATGCACGGGCCCAATAATATAAATAGTATGTTTTGGGGCTAATAATTGAGTTTTTGAAGCGATTGTTTGCGTGGATAAAAGAATAAGTTTTTTTATCACGAACCTGTATTTTCTTTGACGCTATTTAAGGCATAATAAGACTACCCACATACAACATTTTTGAAATATTTTATGTTGTCAATTACCATGATTTATAGTATTTTTACGATAGATTCACTTCAAGAATCAGTGGAATTTTTTGTATTTTTTCAAAACATATTTTTTGTTGTCAATTATCATGATTTATAGTATTTTACGCAATTTTTAAATATAAAAAAAACAAAAAAAAATAAGACAAATAAATTAAAATCGACCCAATATATGTTATTTTTGTTGTCTCAATTTATGTGACACAAATCAAATTTGGAGAGTCATCCAAATTTTCATATGTTTTTTTTTTTTAAATTAAGTTATTAATTATTGTGATTTATAATATTTTTATGTAACTTTGAAATAACGTACATTACTGGTCACATTGTCCTAATTTATGTGATATGGATAAAATTACAAAATTAACCCTTTTAAAATATCTATATTTTAAGTTGTTGATTATTATTATTTATAATACTTTTTGGTAATTCTAAAATGATATGTGTTATTTTTTCTGTCCCAATATATGTGAGCCTGATACAATTCTGAGAGTCAACCTATTTTATTATATAACTTTTAAATATTTTAAATTGATAATTATTGTAATTTTTAATGCTTTTTAAGTCATTTGTAAATGATATATGTTGCTTCCTTGATTGAGACTTTTCCTTTTGTGAAATATATATATATATATATATAGTCCCAATCAAGGAAGCAACATATATCATTTATAAATGACTTAAAAAGCATTAAAAATTACCATAATTATCAATATATATATATTATTTTAAAAGGGAGTTTATGCCCAAGTTCTACTATATAATAAATATAATATATAATATTCAAGAAAATCCCAATCTTGAATATTATATATTATATTTTGGCATAGTAGAAATTTTAAAAGTCCCACAAGTATAATAAATAATATTGAAGATTGGAAAAAGTCTCAATCTTAAATATTATATATTATAATTGGGCCTAGACTCCCTTTTATAATATAGTAGAAAATAATAATACTAATAATAATAAGAGAAAGAGAATACTTGAGATAGAATGGGGAAATTAAATACCAATCTGTTTGGGGTAAATTTGTGCAAAATTTAAAAATCAAATTATAAATTAGTGTTTAGATATGTGATTAAGGATATAATTTGAAATCGAGATTTCAAATTCCAAATTCTCCAAATATATATATATATATATATATATTTCAAATCATGATTTCAAAAAATAAATAAATGAAAAACTTGATCCATTAATTTAAATTTTATATATATAAATAAATAAAAGGACCAATAATCATTTCAAAATTTTCAAAGAAAATAAGTCATGTTCAACGTTTGAGTGAGTAATAATTTTGAAATAAATCTTTTGAACTACAATGACTTGAGGGCTAAAAATTAAAATAGAAGGGTAGAAATATAAAAATGACCTTTCAAATATATGAAATTCATCCGACTCTAAACACACGGTTCTGACAATTATACATCATTAACTCAAACTGACCTTTGCAAGAAATGAAAGAAAGCATTTCGCGCCGCCACTTGTCCAGGAAAACGTGTGATCCACCACGTGGCACCATTTGCAGGTCTCCACCATCATAATTTTCTTCTACTACTGGACTAGCTCTTAAAGGGATATCTATTTTATTTTATTTTATTTTTGGAAAGTTTCCTATATTTCACTCTATATAGTACATTAATTAATACTGTCTTGTTGAATAAGAAATTATTTCTAACAATACAATTTTAAAGTGTTTATAGACATGAAAAAGATATAACTTATTTATTTTGTAATTCATAATATTGAAATTCTTTAATGATGAGATAAATAAATTTGGAATTGAAAACTGAAACTTTAATTTGAATATGGTTGACTCATGCTGGGCACCCCTTCATTATTTTTGAATGAAGGAATTATATACTTAGGGCTCGTTTGGTGTGAGGGATTAGAAATAATAGTGATGGGATAAGGAAATAGTGATGGGATAAAAAAAAAATTATGTTGTTTGGTTGGCAAGTCCGGGATAACTTATCCCGGGATTAATAATTAGTACCGGGATAAGTTATCCCTCCCCATGGGTGGTATAGTAATCCCGGGATAACTTATCCCGAGATAGAATAGGTAAATGACAACTATGTCCCTTTAAATCCTTTTTATGTATCATTTTTTACATTTATGTATATTTACATTTTTTTAATACCATGTATAATAATATTTACTACTCCTTATTTTTATGATAATTATACATATTTTTCTATTAAAAAATTATACTATATAAATATAATTTTTATTTATGAATTTATTTGACTAATTCTTATGTTTATTTTATTTTGATATCTCATAAATTTTCTTCTCTTTAATAAACTTAAGAGGAAAGTTCTATTTTTAAGCTAAATAAGAAAAAAGTTATATTTTTAAATACACATGGTACTTATCATGGGAATACATAAACAAAAATATTTAAGTTAAAAAAAAATAAAAGTTTTATTTTAAAAAATGAATAACTAAAGCTCACAAAGAAAAAATTAAAAAGTTTAAATAAAGTGAAGGGTAATTTTGTAAACAAACAACTTGTTCTTAAAATTTATCAATATATATTATTTTGAATATAACAAACCAAACACTCAATAAGAAATAATCCCAGGACAACTTATCCATCATAACTAATCCCAACATAACTTATCCCATCACAACTCATATTCAAACCAAACGACCCCTTAGTTTTCAAGTAAACAATTGTTTTCAATATCAGATAATTTTGCTTAGATTGGATTGATAAATTAACATTTAGATACTCAGTAATTACGAAAAATAAGTTAAGAAATTGTAATTCTTTAATATCAGAATGGCAAAAAATATTGAACATTGTAATATCACTTCACATTTCATTTATTCAAATATGACGGCTTGAAATTTGCAATACTAATCTTTTCTTCTCACTGCCAAAACCAAGTCATCCATTGACACGTGTCATTATTTGGTGGCGCTACTATCTACATTGTTTAGTACTCTATTAAAATCATAATACTAATGTACATTCGTACCATCCAAATACTGAGTACGAAAATTACCAAAATCTTCTAAATCCTAGTAATTTAAGAAATTGTACTATTTAGATAGAATAATTCCATAAAGTCATGTAGGCATCAGCTTCCACATAATGATCTCCCATTTCTGCACATTGAGGTGGAGGTAGCATTAGTCCTTCCGCCATATTTGCAATTAATCCTGGCATGAAAAAGAGCGCTTCCTCATCAATGAAGAAGCTACTCTCTTGCACTTCATCGTTCATAAAAAATGCATTTTCTGGCGTTTCAGGAGTACTGTTATCAGATTCTCCTGAAATTTCTTCCGACTCTTCTGATGATGATGATGATCGGAAGATTTCGGCGGCCTCAGCGGCCGCCTTTTGAATATCATTAGAGTTGGAGGAAGCCGGGATAGGCAACCTCCAAGCAGAATCAGCGAAATTCAAACAAGCAGAACGGCCCCTTAATGCTAAAGCTGCCACGTCATGAGCTCTTGCTGCCATTTCAGCAGTAGGAAAAGTACCAAGCCAAATCCTTGATTTCTTATTTGGTTCTCTAACTTCACAAACCCATTTTCCTGAATTCCTCATCCTGATTCCCCTGTATATCGGATGTCGAGTTTCTCGAAACTTCTTCCTGCCAGCTGGCCTTTTTGGGTTATTGGAAGCTAAAATAATTTCCTCATCAGATGATGATGATGATGATGAAGAAGAAGATTCGGTTAAAATTAGTGGGTCTGAATAATAGGTTTCAAAGATATTCATTGTTGTTGAGAGCTAAAAATAGGAAGTAGTTGTATAATAGTGTTGGATGTTTGTTCAGTTAACAAGTGTTATACATATTTATAGTGGGAAAGTATGATAGTGAAAGGAGAAGAGAACACGGAGTGATAATAAGGATACAGGCTGGATATAAAAGCGTAAGCCCAGCTGTTTTCTTTCTGTGGGACAAGTAGATTTTTCTTTTTGTGTACAACTCGTGTGGGTTATGTGGCAACTTGTGAGCTTTTACTCTTTCTTCTTTCCTTCCTTTTTGGAATATATATACTCCTCATTACTGAATACTGACCAATCTTTGACATTTCATCAATTATTATAACATAAATAAAACTTATTCGTGTTGCATCTATTTTATACTATCTCATCATCACCAATTTTTCAATTTACAGATGAATCTTTGGGGATTCAGTGAACCAATAGCTGTCAAGGAAAAGGTCAGCTTTCATCAACTTTTTTTTTTATACTCTCTTCGTCTTAAAATATTTTCTAATTTAATTTCCCTTTTTACTTGTCATTTTCGAAAAATTAAAGAATGACAATTTATTTATTTTATTAGACCCTCAATTTGTTAACATTGAGTTAGAGTGTGTTTTGTATTGCCGTTGGGAGGCCAATAGTGTTTTTTTTGAAATTTTTTTTTTTTTTGAAAAATAAAGTATTTGGCAAATCCTTAAAACTGTTTTTAAATGGAAATAGAAGCAATTTTTCTGGTGTTGAAAAGAATCTAAAAATTCGTGCTTCGTAAAAAAAAGCAGAAAATTATATTTTTGAAGACTAAAATATTGTAAAAAAAAGCAGAAAATTATATTTTTGAAGACTAAAATATTCCTTCCATATATACATATTTACATATATATCTCTTATTAATTAATTAGCATATCTCATAAGTTAAGTTTCATTCAAGAATTTTTATTTTTTATACAATGAATTTTTATATTTTTTTATGTTTATATATTATTATTTATATTTTATGATTTTTCTGATATTGGAAAGAAGTTAAAAATATTTGAAATGAGAAAACAACATACCTGAGGACAAGAACTATATATGGAGATTCAAGCTTTGGAGAGGAGAAATTAGACTATAGTAGAGTAGTTACAAATTAAAAAAAAAAAAGGAATGAAAAGGGAGGAGAGAGGGAGTGTTATTTCTATTTTAGGAGACTAGATATGGACCCAAGTATATTTTATTAGATTTAAAATTTTATTCCAAACTATTTAAATTTATAAAAAAAATACCCCAACCCTAAAAGTGAAGTTTAAGTTCCATAATGACAGATATTTTTGATCAATTTGGGATAATCTGTTCAATTAAGAGGTAAATATGTAAAGTTTCATAATGACAAAGATATATTTATAAGTACGATAGTATAATGAAGAATAAAATTAATTAATAAACTATACTAATTATTGAGATTCTTTGAAAAGATAGTGGAAGGTGAAGGGTGAGTTGCCTTTCTATTCTTATCTTAGGCCAAAATATATATAGCCGCCCCCTACGTAATCCAATTGAAAGATGAGTTTGAAAATTGACCTTTGAAATGGGTATATGTATGAAGTCACTAGTGAAGTACCAATAATAACTAATTAAAACTCAACACGCGCTTTTGACAGTTAATAATATCATCATTTGCTACTCTGATAAATTAACAAATTAAACTTTTCATTTCTCACGCGGGAAATTATACGCGTGGACCACGTGCATCATTTCCAGCTCCAATGTGCTTCCACTTGGAATATATTGGATTAGTACCACAATGTTGAGACATGTATAAATCTCCAACGATTTGAATTGTCCCCATTATTATTCCATTCTAGAAAGTTCTACAATTGTCATCACTAATAATTTGATAATAGAGGCGGACCTAATTGAGTACATGTATATCTGTTAACTTTGGAAAAAATCATATATATATATGTATATCTATTTTTGAAAATTGGTATAAACTATGATATAATTAATTATATGTAGTAATTCAAGAACTATTTATACTACAAAGAAAACAAATATAGTAATTTTATTTTTAGGAAAAGGACATTTTTTATCCAAAAGTAATAATACAAGACATTTTTGGACGAAACTACTAAAATAGAATATTTTTATTCAATATGCTACAGCATGTGGGTAGTTATTAGTTAAGAGGAGTACTTGCCCAAATGATCGATATTGAAAATTCTAGGACAGATGAAAATAGGTTTGAAAAACTAGCGCATTTATTTCACTCTATTACAATCTGCTTGAAAAATACTCCACAAATCTACTTTTTCACTCACTTGCCTAAACCAGAAAAAACTTAAGACCAACTGTCATAAAACACACAATAGTCTTATATACCCACGGTCTAGGCCAATGATTCTCATTTAACCTGAACCATTTTCTTATGCTACTACGTACAACACACTATTAAATAATAGTATAGCAATACTAGTAATATCTACATCATTACAAATTACAATACTTCACTCTTAGCATTAGTCTCATTATACTTACTTATATATATTAGATAGAATAGCTCCATAAAGGCATATCATCAGCTTCCACATGATCTCCCATTTCAGTACATTGAGGTGGAGGTACCATTAATCCTTCCGCCATATTCGTAAGTAAACCCGGCATGCAGAACAACGCTTCCTCATCCATAAAAAACATATCATCCGGAGTACTAGATTGATCTCCAGTAATAACTACTAATTCTTCTTCCGACTTTAATGGTCGGAAGGATTCGGCGGCCTCAGCGGCCGCCTTTTGAATATCCTTAGTGTCGGAGGAAGCCGGGGTAGGCAACCTCCAAGCAGAGTCAGCAAAATTCAAACAAGCAGAACGGCCTCTTAATGCTATAGCCGCCACGTCATGAGCTCTTGCCGCCATTTCAGCAGTTGGAAAAGTACCAAGCCAAATCCTTGTTTTCTTATTTGGTTCTCTGACTTCACAAACCCATTTTCCTGAATTCCTCATCCTGACTCCCCTGTATACTGGATGTCGAGTTTCTCGAAACTTCTTCCTTCCAGCTGGCTTCTTTGGATTATTTGAAGCTAAAATAACTTCCTCATCAGAATGATTGGCACTATTAGGAGAGTTATAAGTAGTAGTATCAGAAAATGATGAAGAAGAATCTATTTGTGGGTCCGAATAATAGCTTCGAAAGATATCCATTTTTTTTCTTTAATCAGTGATATTTGTGATGTTTGTTTTTGAGTGAGCTTATAGATTTTAATTGTTGTGGTAAATGTGAAAAGTTTGATTTCTATATATAGTTGAGACTAAAAAAGTTATGATGATGAAAAAGAACACGGAAGTTAGAGGGTGATAAGGAGACAGGCTGTTTTAAAAAGAGAGTGGGGCAGCTGTTTTATATGACAGCTGGAGTGGAGTGGGGCTGTGGTTTTAAGAAAACTAAGTTCCAACTTCCAAATCTTCCGTGCGTCTAACTTGGCTTATTTTTAGTTTCTTCTATACTTCCCTTTTGGACTATATTGGTACTTAACTTGGAAAATACTTAAGCTACTACTTCACAATATTGACATTTGTCATGGACTAAAAATAATAAATTTCGTGTTGTCACTTGTCAAGTCAAATGATACTAGAATAAGACGGACTACTTTGGTAGGTAAAACTAATAAGTACGAAAGGCGTACTAAAAGTTTATAAATCAAACTATGAGATATATCAAAACTCGATACATGCTCATTATAACAAAAATATTTTTTAGCAATAATAAATAGACATATTAATAAAGAGTGCTAAAGTTTTTACCGTTATTAGTTAAATGTATTAGATTCAACGTCGCTCAAGGCTTTAGGGACATATAAAAAGAGTGATAATTGCCGCTAAAAAATTATATTTAATAGCAATTGAATTATTATCATTAATTAATTACCGCTAAAGATTATTTTTTATGTGGTGGATTATAATTTATATAAATTAAACTATGCTTCAAGACTTTCACCAATCTCTGTTGATGATAACAATAATAGTGAGACATGAAAAACAAAGAGCAAAATTAATCAAATGAGTCTTTTTAAAATTATGAGATTAAATCAGTGTTTGGACATTTGAGTTCATCCTGATTTTGTCGCATATTATGAGATGAAATTTCAAATTTCCAAAAAGCATGATTTGAGAATTTCATATCATGTTTTGAGATTTTTCAAATATAAAAATGGACCTACGAGTTTATATTTTGTATTTAAAAACCATATTTATATGGGTAATGTTAAATGGCCAGAAAATTTGACCAGAAATTTAAAAAAATTATAATATCTTTTTTATTTTAAAATAAACTAATATTTTTTTCATTTTTAATTAAAAGGTATTAAAGTTAAAGGGGTAAATTGTTCAAAAAAAATAAAAATAACATAGGATAAATACCATTCTGGCCAAATTTTCTAGCCAAAAGGATTTTTCCTATTTATATGTACTAACCATTTATTTCATATGTAAAGAAAATTTATAATTTATATCATTACTTTTTAATCCATTTATATCTCATATAACATTATTCTCACCAACACAAAATTATTGTTACTTCAAAACAATTTCTACTTTATGATTTATATTCATCAAATTCATTATTTTCCATCAAATTTATTCAAAGACTAGTACACTACAACTTTTGTTTAATTTTGTCTTTTATTTAATTAAAACTTGATCAATAAATGTTGTATTTTTTTAAAAAAATATCTTTGTAATAGCGTATTATGTAATTTTATAAACTCTAAGTTATTTGATAAAATTATATGAAGAATTGAGACAATTTTAATAATTTTACAACTTATGAAATTTTTATGTGTATGAGAAAATATACAACATAAAAATTTAAATTGCATATCCAAACAAACGATGATAAATCAATTGGTAAAGGATGCAATTGGTCACACGAGCAATGCGGGTTTGAACCAAGCTGGTAGCATTATTTTTTTTTGGCTTGCTCTTGTACAATGAAGCTCTTTCTCTTCTTTTTTTCTCTATCATTTTCATTAACGTGTAAAGGGCTTAAATTTTTTCTCTACTTTCAAACATTCTTATTTATTTACTACTACTCATTATTATTTTAATTTGGCTCCTTTTCACCGTAATTAATTTCTTTTTTAAAAATAAATTCTCTTTCATTATTTGTTAATCTCTTGATATGAGTATTACTGTTTATTCATTATCAATGAATGAGTATTGAATTATGAACGTTACATAAACATTATTAAGAATACACTTAAATAGTAGTTTTTTAAAAATATATGTTTTAAAATGATGAATATTATTATTTAAGTTCTTTAAATTTAAAGGTTCTTTCTATCTTCACCACATTTTTACAAGGTAAATTGACTAGGTGAAACTACAATTTTTATTATTTCTCTATTATATATCTACAACAACACATAAAGTCAATGAAATATGAATATATTAACACTATTAGATGATTTATACAAGCTCAAATTTTTAAGGTGAAAAATATTTTTTTTCTCAAAATTTTAGCGAATAAGGCCTCTGATTCCTAAAAAGAAATAAAAAATTAAATTGTTTAGTTATATCTAGTCTCATAGTATTTAAAACAAAATATTACTAACATGCAATTTGATAAATTTGTGTATAAAATTTGAAAAACATAAATAACTCAAATTGTAACCCAAAATTGAAGCAACTGCCCGTTTATCTTACTTGAATGGAACGGCACGTACGACCTCTAAAATCTAGACCCACCTCTGCAAACAAAACAAAACTTCAACTTTATTTCATAATTTCATATTATGCTTTTAAACTTTGTAAGACTCAAGGGTCCCCTAGGGATGACAATGGGGCGGGGCGGGGCGGGTTAGGCTTAACCCGCTTTGCATAACAATCTTTTATCCTTTTTCCCCTCCCTGCATAGATCCACTCCGCATGAACCCGCCCTGCATAGACCCACTCCGCATGAACCCGCCCTGCATAATTTATATAATATTTTCTTTTTCTAGTAAAGTTTGATAGTAAAAATAAAATTCATGCAAATAAATTCATTTTTCATTAAGTTGTATTAATTAAATGGATAGTGGCTTAAAATTTTATTTTTAAGAGGTCAATTGGGAAACATGTAAGAAATTATATTATTTTTATTGAACCATTTTCATTTATTATTTTAAATATTTTAATAACTTTAAAGAAATTATCTTAATGAATAATGTTTTATCACTCTTAGGGGTCGTTTGGTAGAGTGTATTAGGAAAAATAACGCATGCATTAGCACTGTGTATTACTAGTACCTTGTTTGGTACTCTTTTCCAACCTATGTATAACTAATGCTTGCATTAGTTATACACTCTATTGTGTATTAAAGTGTGTATTGCTAATACCATGGATTTCTAGGTATTAGCAATGCAATGGTTTTAATGCATGCATTAGATTAACTAATGACAAAACTACCCTCTAATAATAATAATAATAATATTATTATTATTATTATAATTATAATTATTATTATTGTTATTGTAATTATAATTATTATTATTATAATTATAATTATAATTATAATAATTATTATTATTATTATGATTATAATAATAATAATTATTATTATTATTATTTTTGTAAAAGAATGTGAGGGTATTTTTGTAAACAAATATTTTTTTAATAGTCTTTATATAAGGCTTGCTATTTCCAATACATCAAACCAAACAATGTATAAGAAATAATGCAAGCATAACTAATGCAAGCATTACTAATGCTTGCATTACTAATGCATGCATTACTAATACATCATATTCAGCATTATTCTTATACACTCTACCAAACGACCCCTTATAACATATAAAAATTTATAAGTTTTATTGAATCCACGTGAAATCACATATAATCGCAACTCATCCCGCATTAATTTTTTTTAAAAAAACACTTCAATCCGCCCCCATAACTATAAATTAGCTCATCCCGCATAGCCTTAATCTCACCCGTCCCACAAAGCCATGTCATCCAAAGGGTCCCCCAATTGTACGAAGTACGAACACACGTTTTGACAGTTGCAAAAATTAAATCTACAACTGCCTATCATTTCACCACGGAAACGTGTGGACCACGTGCGTAGGTGCAGAATCGCATACTCGGTTTGCACAAACATACAAAAGTGGAGAATCTTAAAGATTATTGTACTCCACTTATATTAAGACATATATTAAATTTCTAAAAATATTTCTATTGTACCTCATTCTTTCCCTTTAACATTATTTTAACTCCTTATTATATTACAACTGGCCACCAAAAGCATCAGATGCATGTATGTATAGGTTCAACATCTATTAATCTCATTTATAATTTTGAGTAATTATAAATTATCTCATTATTCAATATTTATGCATTAGATTTAAAGCCAAATATATTGAGATACATCATTTCTTAAATTAATCTAAAATAGAATCTATATCTACTTAATTATCTCTCTAATTTAGATTTCCTCTTTTTCTCCAAATAAGTTCACTCCCTTTTCTAATGTTCCCATCCCAAGTCTGTCACGACCCACACCATCGTAATTGACACCCACACTAACTCTCCGATGGGAGAACCAATAATACTAATTAGCTAACCAACTTAATCAAAATACTAAAGCATTTAAGGTTACAGAAGCAAGTTTAAATGCTAAGGAAAAGGTAGCTAGGGAGTTCCCATAAACTCCAATAAAAGTCTAACAACCAAAACTAACATTGCGGAAGTAATACCTACAACCTGAAAGTCAATATACCAAAATATCTAAGGTTCAACCATAAGTCTAAAGGAAAATGGGTACAACCCCATACTAAACATAAGAAATCTGAAGAACTAGTCTAGGTCCGAAAGGTGGACATAAACTGAAAGAAAACTCATGGCAACCCGGAAGAACTGGCTCACCCTTGAATTCGAAATGATCACTGATCTTCTAAGCGAGGTCTGTCAATAGCCGCCGGAAGATGCCTTGTACTCAACAAAAAAAGAGCAAGTTGTGCAGTATCAGTACACAACTACAGTGTACTGGTAGGATCACACGACTATCCCACTAAATGCAACATACATAAGTCATTACAACATAACAATAACATGCATACTCCGAACATATACAATACCAATATCATTTACGAACAACAATCAAGTTCACAATTCTTAATTACATAGTTATGTCAAGTCAATGGTCCTCTCATGGAACCCAAACCCAAACTGTTAGCATACCGGTACGTGGTATCCGATCCAATGTTTATGCCGAA